TTCACTACGTTGTGGTCACGTGCTAAACTCTCGGGCACCTAATGCCACACAGATATGCTCGTTATTGTCCAAACTGCTGTCTCATTTACTCCTCGTGGAACATTCTTATTTTCAGAATAGTTGTAAATCTTGGTTTCCCAGTGTCCATTTGAGTCACTTGTCCCTCGATAGAATCCTTGGGGGATCCGATACCTTCGCTAGCGCTTGGCTTGTGTTGTTTGGTCAAGTATTGGCATCCTGAATGATTCAAGGCCTTTAGATTATTCTGTGATGAAAACGGTTCTAGATAGTTGACCAGATCACACACTATAAGGTGAAGGGACGACGACGTTTCGGTCCGTCCTGGACCATTCTCAAGTCGATTGAGAATTGGTTCTAGATAGTCTCCCTGGTTTGGTATCTTCTTTTGATAATTACTTACTCTCTAATGCCACCACTGTATACCTTAAAATTTCGTACAGTGCGCGAAATTAGCACTTATAAAAGTTGCAAAACATTTTGTTGACCAAACCACACACTAGAAAGCGAAGGGACGAAAGTGAAGGTCGTCGTCCCTTCACTTTCTAGTGTGAGGTTTGGTCAACATATTTCAGCCAGGTTACTGTGACTCCTCGTCTGCAAAACATTGTCCACCACATAACCAGACAACCCAGGAACTCCATATAGGGTGAGACATACGACCACGTGTTACACGCCCCAATGCTGGGAAGATTATGCTCCGTACAGCTTGAGGTCCACGAACCTGGGTCTGTATTCGGACAACAAAGTCCCTCAATACATAATTCCTAGATAAAATCTAGACCAGAAACCCCCAATTTAAAAACAAGGTCTCTCAGAATATGTGGCCTGACAGCCAAGCATGTTTAGAAGTACTAGAATATGCACATATTCCTTTAACCTTTGTAACCTTTAAATACAAAAAAAAAGGGAAGGGGGTGGTAGGAGAAAAGCACACAGGAACTGTATTGGAGGGGACCTACATTCCCCTACATTTCGTTATGTGTGGTTTCCTCCGAGGCTATGGGATCCCCTTCTTCCAGCCAGAGGTGCACATATATATAAATGTTCTAAAGCAATTAAATTGAAATTGAAATAAATTTGAGATATAAATACACACAAAGGGGTGAGATTGCTCAAGCTATTCTCATCCCGTTATTTTAAAGCATATGTGCATAACCACATCTTGCGCGATACATTGGAAAGGCTTTACCAACACTCACCAGCCGGGCCACCAGCCGGGCCACACACGAGAGAGAGAGAGAGAAAGCAAGCAAGCTTACTCAGCTCCCGCACAATCGTCTCAGCAAGGCTCACAATCCCTCACTAGTATAACTCACTGCATGCCACGTAAACATAACTTTCCTTCAGATGTATTCCTTCGCCCTCATTTTTAATACAAACAAAATATGTGATGAAGATACACACACACACACACACACACACACACACACACACACACACACACACACACACACACACACACAGTACCCAAATGAGCCACAGAGACATTAGAAAGCACTTTTTTAGTGTCAGAGTAGTTGACAAATGGAATACATTAGGCAGTGATGTGGTGGAGGCTGACTCCATACACAGTTTCAAGTGTAGATATGATAAGAGCCCAGTAGGCTCAGGAACCTGTACACCAGTTGAGTGACACTTGTGAGGCAGGACCAATGAACCAGAACTCAACCCCCACAAGCACAACTAGGAGAATACAACTGTGTGAATGCACACGCATGTGCACGGGAAGAGGAACACACAGGCTCAACATCACACGCAGAAGTGCCTAGCCTCCCGAAGCCCACGTCACAGTTCGTCAGCTTCACATGCTAAGTATTTCAACATAAGAACAGCGTTAAGAAATCTGGATAAAGAACACGTCAGGATTCTGTATTCACATGTATTCGTCCCTTCGAACAGCGTTAAGAAATCTGGATAAAGAACACGTCAGGATTCTGTATTCACATATGTCAGACCAATTCTGGAGTATGTATCGCTAGCGGTTAGTTCCTATCGCCTCATACGCAAAACTAAGATGGAGAAAGTCTAGAGGTATGTCACCAGACTAGTCCCAGAGTTACGAGGAAATACTAATTAAAATAGTTAAAACTCAAATCACTAGAAAATAGAAGCTAGAGGAGACATGATTACTAAATGCAAGATTCTCGGGGAAATAATTTAGCATATATATATATACAGATTATTTGGAATGGGTGACACACGAACAAGGCGACACATGTGGAAACGAGTTACATAGTTCCAAGGTTACATGGCCTTCCCGGATTGGTGCCTTTTGATAATCACTTACAAGTGGAAAACTGGGTACGAAAATTATCTACAGAGTCATTACGAATACATTTTTCAGTGTGGGAGAACAAGTAGAATGCGCCAAGAAGTAAAATGGTGGAGGCGGAGTTCATACACAGCTTTAAACATAAATATGACACGACCACCCAGCGGGCTCGGGAACCTGTACGCCTATGGATTGAATGTTGGAGAGTCGAGACTAAAGAGGAGAAAAGCACCACTCCCGCAGGTTCACACAGGTGCATATTTAAGTAGACGAACGACCTTATAGTGTATCCTAACACTTTCGGGGCACTATAACTGTCTTCTGGCGACCTTGGGAAGCAATCATACCTTGGGAAGCCTCGTGACCGCTCAAATACAGGCTTCGTGGTGCAAAGCCTCGCTCCAGTCGTACAGGCAACCGCTGTACCAGATGGGTGCAGATTTTCGCTCCTGATGGTCATACTAGTGTGATGTCATACTCGCCCAGACTGCCTGGGTGTGTGGCGGGGATGTGGTATGCGAGTTATGACGCTTCCTGGGTCTGTGGTGGTCAGTTGTGGGCGGGGCTGAATGTAAGTATACGAGATTGGGCGTGGGCGTGGGGCGTTCGGAAGTGGATGTACTCGCCTAGTGGATGTTAGTTTAGGTGCTGTTGGTACGTGTTCTTGGCGGTGATAGGTTTATGTATGCAGATGAAGAGTCACAATAACGTGGCTGACAAATGTTGACCAAATCACACATAGAAAGTGAAGGGACGACGACGTTTCGGTCCGTCCTGGACCATTCTCAAGTCGATTGAGAATGGTCCGGGACGGACCGAAACAACGTTGTCGTCTCTTCACTTTCTATGTGTGGTTTGGTCAAGAGGTTTATGTATGTATCACATTTATCTGTACGCACCTGTTTACGTTTCCTAGGCATTAAGCTTCAGCTCCTGGACTCAGCCTCTCAGCTTCAAATCACCTGTTATCCTTCTTCCTTTAACCCTTTGGCTTCTATCGTATGTTCGTAAAAATGTCTGGGAATTAAAGGGTGGTCTTGAGCTGTAGCTCCCTCTACATATTATTTAGCTGCTCCTGCTCGTTAACCAACCGCATTCCCAACTCAAGTGCCAGTCTGCCTTTCCCAACTATGAATGGTGGTCTATTCAGCTGGTAAAAATGATGAATAAATTTGTGTTAGGCGCAAAGGCAAATTCAATGCATATTGAAAAGTGCCGTGTAATATTTCTGGATTATAAAATGCTCCTTACGCGTTGTTGCCATAAGGATGATAATTACAGAAAATAAATAGAAATACGGTTCTGGAGAATAAAGTGCGCGTTTTCCACCCTATCCCTCCCCATCCCACCCCATCCCACCCTATCCCTCCCCATCCCACCCTATCCCACCCTATCCCTCCCCATCCCACCCCATCCCACCCTATCCCTCCCCATCCCACCCCCCGTATAATTACATTCCGTCACACGATGTGCACATCAGTACAGGTCATTTTACGGGGGGCCACACTTGGCGTACCTCGTTGGCACTTCCAGCCGTGCCATAGTTGCCCTTACCACACTGTTGCCAGGCTGGCGGAGGAGGTAAGTGCTGTGCTGGTGTGGGGTTGAGCTTCAGCTTACGGGTTCTCAACCTTCAGACGACAAATGTAATTGGAACCAACTCCCTGAGTGTGTGTATATCTTTGAGTCCGTCAAAGGAAAACTGCCTCGGCTATTTCATTACGTTTGTTCATTCCGCTTCACTACTCTTGCTCGGTGACGTTCATTTTTATTTCTAGTGTCCCGGTGGATTATTTCGGCATTAGGTTCCATATTTCTTGTTGTCTCGTCCTTATCCCCTTCAATTTCAACCACTTTCAGACTCTTTATTCATCTCAGGATCTTGTATCTTTGGATCATGTCTACTGTGCCGTGAGATTTAGTGCGTTTCGTCTAATTTTATAGCTCATTTTTTTTTCTTCAGTTTCGGGACCAGTCTGGTGGCGAACTTCTAAACTAACTCTCTCTCTCTCTCTCTCTCTCTCTCTCTCTCTCTCTCTCTCTCTCTCTCTCTCTCTCTCTCTCTCTCTCTCTCTCTCTCTCTCTCTCTCTCTCTCTCTCTCTCATTGCTAATCACCTAGTCACCCCTACATCCTCCACACACTACCTGTCCCTCCACCCACTCCTAGTCTGGCTGTCCCTCCTCCAGCACCCCGACTAGTCTCTCCTGGCCTCTGGCTGCAAATGGCTATAAATGCCCTACTTCTCTCCCCAGCACTTATGGCATACCTCCCTCATTTATCCCACCTCTGTCTTCTCTCTCTCTCTCTCCTGTCTTCTTGGTCATTTTCCTGTCTTCGCCTTCTGCCGTCTCTGCCGCTTCCTCGGTCTACTTCCTAGCTCTCATCTCGTGTTTTTCTCCCTCCCTTCTTGTTTTAAGGTCTCTGCTATTTCCTCTTATCGTACTCATCTCTCTCTCCCTGCATTATCCTGCCTCATTCAGCCTTCTCGTTCGCTTATATTTCACTCTCTTTCTCTTGATTAGATTAGGCAAAAGTGTGTATTGTGTCAGTAAAGATGTTAATAATGTTCTTGATTTCCATTTGCGTCTTGTCATAATTCTCAAGCTATGCTGTGATACAGAACGTTCTAGGAAGCTGTTATAAATAAAACGAGCGAACAGTTGTTCATGACGACCATTTAGCAGCTAAATTGTTTTATTTTCCAGGGAGGACAGTGAGCTGGCCGGTGCAGGCCCACGCCCACGATGCCAGGGCCCCTTACGCCCACGCCCACCACACCCCCGGCCCCCCCGCGCCCGCAGCGCCATGCATTGCCCGCCCACCCTGCTGTGTAGACACACGCCCCCACCCACACGCCCGGCGCGTGGCGTTGGCTAGGCAACGCTGTCACTCCTAGTGAACCGTGTGAGTGCTGTGAGAGTGACTAGTGTGACACAGTGAACTATAGGAGCGTGACGGAGCGGCCCGGCCAGGGTGTGACGGTGAGGCCCAGCACTGTCCGGCGTCATGACGCCCCCCAGACGGAGGGAGACGCCGGCCGTGACGTAGACGACATGCAGCAGGCGGGGTGCGGGGAGCTGGAGACCCACGACGCGGGGATGTTCCAGCTGGAGCAGCTGGAACAGCTGATCAAAACCCTGGAGGCGCGTAGAGCAGCCAGCTGCGACTTGAGCGACGGCTCGCCGACATCTGCATCCCCTCGCGCCCTCACCCCCAGTTCGATTCCCGCCCGAAGCATCAACTTCTGGCGCGAGGTATCTCCCCAGTTGTCTTACATCGACGGCGGGAGCTCCGGCGGGACCTCGTACGGGCGCAGCGTGTCCTGGAACCTGGCGGAGCTGTCACCGGCGGACCCTGCGGCGCCCCGCTCGCCCTTCCACGACCACCGCGCATCTGCAGACTCCCTCAAACCTGCCCAGGACCCGACGCCCTCCCTGCCGGCGCTCGCCCCCATCACCAAGTTCGCCTCGGACACGCTCTGCTCGCCCTCCCACCCACTCGTCGCCCACTCCGTCGTCCAGGTGGAGAAAGGCGACATCAAGACCAAGATTCAGAAGCGCCTGAGTTTTGGCGACACCCTCGACCTGCACACTAATATCTACACCCCGGCGGACGACTGCAGCGGGGGGGTGTCTGGGGGTCTGGAGGCGGCGGCGGCGGGGGGCGCGGCCAACGGCTCGAGCACGTCCTTGGAGCGGCGGTGGCTGGAGGAGGAGGTCGGGGGAGGGCCGCCGCTGGTGAGGCGCAAGTCGCTGGACACCCAGAGTCAGTACTCGTACTACATGGACAAGGACCTGAGGTACTACTTCCAGCACCCGTGGCTCAGACTCATCATCGCTTACCTCGTCATCTTCTGCAACTTCCTGCTCTTCGCCGAGGACCCCGTCTCTCACTCCCACGCAGGTTAGTGCCCCCTTCCTCTCTATTCTGAATTCCATGACAGTCTGAAAGGAATTTGACGTCAAGATATTATTTCAATTTTAATTTCCTCTCTACTAATAACCATGTTGCGTTTAATTACTAAAATGTGCTGTTTTTTCCCCCCGTGTCCAATAATGATAGCGGCGTTCTGTAATGTAGTGAAATAAACCACATATTCTTTGTAATAATAAGAATGTAGGTTGTGTGGTCACCAGCGTGTATTTGTAGATACTTTGGTATTGAGTTCTACCCGGGAGGATGTTCATTTAATTTCGAATAAGCCTGATGTTTACCACAAAGTCTTCATGTCACGTTTCTGCCCGAAACGCTATGCGTGTTGTGGGAACCGACCTGTGAGATTTATATTTATTTAATTTATATGAATTTATATTTACGTTAATTTATATACTTCGATAGCAATTTGTATAATGTTAAGTGGACTGTATTTCTGCAATAATCTCATAATCTCACAAATCGATCCTCTACACATTAGGGGGGGTTTATATTACACATATGCAGCCAATCAAATTACAGTAATAGCTACATACATTGATGAGGTTCCTTCTCTTATAGTACAGCAGGTTAGTCCACCAGGTATAACTAGAGTGTAGACACCAAATTATCCTCTTTGAGGTAGCTTCTATCACCCAGTAACTGGTGCACATAATCTTGCATCCTCGTCTTGACCTGTCAAAAGTGCGCTAGCTGTGAAGCCAGAATCCTATATATGACAAGTATATCAGAGAAAACAGTACATGGAACATGAGGACCTGGCTTAATTACCTTTAGTTTGAGGCTTCCATGTGATCTAACCGGATAACCCTACCCAATGACATTAATGGCCACTAATGATAGATAATGGGTTTCGGATAGACACTTAACTTGAATTTGTAGACAGCGTGTTGATAATGGTACACTTTTAGTTTCCATAACACTACGTCCAAGTAAATTTAACAGGAGCCGAATTTGCTCCCGTGTGAGCCTCTGGTCTAGTATAAACAATAACAATGGCTGCCCTCCTTCCTCACTGACGCCTGGCCTACTTTGTCCAGATTTCAGAAAGTGATAGAAGGGTCACATTTACTCTACTTTAATATTGATAATTAAGTTAATTTATATAAGATGTTTTTATGATGGTAAAGTCCAAAGACTAATGTATTTAAGAATAATTCCCACCATAATAGGTGGTGAATTATAATAGTATGTGGTGATGATATCCCGTTTTCTATAGACGGTAATTCCACTACAAGTTACGTTTTCTATGGGTAACTTGTTGGTAATACAGTTATTATCTGTATGATGATATTATTGTTAAATGGTGTCGGATTTTCCGACACGTGTTAATGGCTTTACAAGAATGTAAAAACATCAATGCTACGTACTCTCATAAACCCACTGTAATAGTGGGCATCCATCAGTCTCAGGAGACTATGGAGTTGCGCTCTGGTTGTCTGGAGTGGTGAGACTTGTGGGGAGGGGAAAAGGGAAACATGAAGGACAAATTGGGGTGATAATAGAGAGGAACCCGAGGGAAGGTATTGGGAGAACAGATAGTGAAATAGAGAGTGAGGGGAAAGGAAGGTATTATAAGGACAGGCATCAAGCCATTACGACTCGGCACCGCTCCTGTGCCAGGTAATTTCACTACGGGCTCACCATAGCCCGTGCTACTTGCCCCGCTCCTGTGCCAGGTAGGTTCACTACGGGCTCACCATAGCCCGTGTTACTTGCCCCGCTCCTGTGCCAGGTAGGTTCACTACGGGCTCACCATAGCCCGTGCTACTTGCCCCGCTCCTGTGCCAGGTAAGTTACGGGCTCACCATAGCCCGTGCTACTCGGAACAAGTAGCTGAATCTATAACAACAACAACCATTACGACTAAATAGCAAGAGTGGATAAATGAGAAGTGGGAGAGATAGGGAAGGAAAGGGATGAGTAATGAATAGAGGAAGTAAGAAACAGAGTGCATAAGAGACAGAGGAAGAGACGGGATGCACATGGGACAGAGAAAGGAACAAAGTGTATCAGGGACAGAAAGGAACGGTGCATGAGAGAAAAAAACAGAGTGAATAAGGATCAGAGGAAGGAACAGCGGGCTTAAAGGACAGGGAATGAATAGAGTGCACAAGGGACAGTGAAAGAGAGTAAGGAACAAGAAGAAGTAATACTTCCGGGTCCCCCAACCACAAACATTTGGCCTACCGCCTGAAGAAGCAGTTTTTCTCTCAAGAAAATGACAACATGGACACCATTTTGCAGCTCCCGTTTCTACTATAGATTTTCCGTGTATGCATGCCAGACATTCTCCCAATATCAAATCACGAAGGTCTATCGATGTTTCTCCATAATATCGAGCAACCTGTTCGATGGCGAGTAATAAACTTATACAAACCTCACTTCTATAATGTTAGAAATTAAAAGATCTGACAGTAAAATAATTGAAGTTCTTCCATCAATCTTAGAGTGGAAACATCACTGAGTTTTGCTTATATAAGGCAGGCGTTACTAAACTCCAGGACCAGGATTCATCAACGTATTCGCTTACGAAACCTGTACATCTGTCCTTGATCATGACTGCTTAGGATATATTTATGAAACGGTTTCCAAGCTTGAAAACGCAGAGAGATCGTCTTCGACTCAAAGATATTTTCACTAACAACCTCCTCGTAGCCTGGTGGATAGCGCGCAGGACTCGTAATTCTGTGGCGCGGGTTCGATTCCCGCACGAGGCAGAAACAAATGGGCAAAGTTTCTTTCACCCTAAATGTCCCTGTTACCTAGCAGTAAATAGGTACCTGGGAGTTAGTCAGCTGTCACGGGCTGCTTCCTGGGGGTGGAGGCCTGGTCGAGGACCGGGCCGCGGGGACACTAAAGCTTGGTGGTGGTGCTGCTGTTGATGGTGGTGGTGCTACTGTTGGTGGTGGTGCTACTGTTGGTGGTGGTGCTACTGTTGGTGGTGGTGCTACTGTTGGTGGTGGTGCTACTGTTGGTGGTGGTGGTGCTACTGTTGGTGGTGGTGCTGCTGTTGGTGGTGGTGCTACTGTTGGTGGTGGTGGTGCTACTGTTGGTGGTGGTGGTGCTACTGTTGGTGGTGGTGCTGTGCTGGTGGTTGCTGTTGGTGGTGGTGCTACTGTTGCTGGTGGTGGTGGTGCTACTGTGCTGGTGGTGGTGCTGCTGTTGGTGGTGGTGGTGCTACTGTTGCTGGTGGTGGTGCTACTGTTTGGTGGTGGTGCTACTGTTGCTGGTGGTGGTGCTACTGTTTGGTGGTGGTGGTGCTACTGTTGTGGTGGTGGTGGTGCTACTGTTGCTGGTGGTGGTGCTACTGTTGCTGGTGGTGGTGCTACTGTTGCTGGTGGTGGTGGTGCTACTGTTGCTGGTGGTGGTGCTACTGTTGCTGGTGGTGGTGCTACTGTTGCTGGTGGTGCTGCTGTGGTGGTGGTACTGTTGCTGGTGGTGGTGGTGCTACTGTTGGTGGTGGTGCTGGTTGGTGGTGCTACTGTTGTTGGTGGTGGTGGTGCTACTGTTGCTGGTGGTGGTGCTACTGTTGCTGGTGGTGGTGCTACTGTTGGTGGTGGTGGTGCTACTGTTGGTGGTGGTGGTGCTACTGTTGGTGGTGGTGCTGCTGCTGTTGGTGGTGGTGCTACTGTTGGTGGTGGTGCTACTGTTGGTGGTGGTGGTGCTGCTGTTGGTGGTGGTGCTACTGTTGGTGGTGGTGCTACTGTTGGTGGTGGGTGCTGCTGTTGGTGGTGGTGCTGCTGTTGATGGTGGTGGTGCTACTGTTGGTGGTGGTGCTACTGTTGGTGGTGGTGCTGCTGTTGGTGGTGGTGCTACTGTTGGTGGTGGTGCTACTGTTGGTGGTGGTGGTGCTACTGTTGGTGGTGGTGGTGGTGCTACTCTCTTCCACCGCCGCCAACAAAGACAACACCCACGGAAATCAACGAGACAATCTTGCCGCTCAACGATGCGTATCAGTCGTGCGTATTTCTTTGTTGTGTTGGTTGTCACTGACGCATTTAACCCGACTGCGTGATCCGCAGTGAACTGGCTTCCCGGAAGTATCATGCCGAAGTTCAGTAATGTTCACTCGGGCCCCCCGCCCCCCAAATCGTTATCCAGTAAACATTTTATTGAACGTATAGAATGTGCAAAGTTTTTTTCAGTTCGAGTTATGGTTGGTGAATACTTGCGTATTGCAAAGATATTTCGCGTAAAATCCCATCATTGAGAATTCCTGTTTTTGTTTTACGAGGTCATCAGTGAGCCTGGAGCCCGTAACTCTTGATACGTCACAACGTACAAAATACAGTATGCTAACCTAACCAGAGATGTAGGCACCCAAGCAACCCGCCCAACCTAATCATCGATACATAGAAAACGTGGATATTTGTGAGCCGCTACTTTTCATATTACAATACTTTGCAATTTGTACATTGGGGACCATAGGGTACAGAATGAGACGTAAGAGTTGAGAGCGCGGGTTGAACCCCTTGCACCGTCGACCCGAGTACATCACTCAGGGCTCTTAAGATTCTTCGCTCCCTCAACAGACAGCCCTCACAAGCCCTCATTCTTATTGACCGTCATTCAGTTTGTCATTCACCTGCTCATTCACTCACAGACTCTTCTCATTCTCACAGAGCCTCATCTTCACAGATCCCCCCTACTCCTCTTTCACTCTTATTGACCCCCCTGGCCCAAACAGAGCCACTCTCACTCTCGCAGACCCTGGCTCTCACTAGTGATGATCATTCACGCCCTCACAATTCTCGGGAGTCCTATAAATCTTCAGGTGGGTCTTATATCTCTTCCTGCTCGCTGAACTCTTCTCAGATGAAACTTCTCCTCCCTTTTACTGTGTTTGCTGCCTCTCCTTTCTTTTTCTTTTGTTTTATTTTTAATGTTTTCTTTCATTGCTTTGAACCCGTTTCTGTCATGGCTTTGTCCCGTTTTCTTTCATAGACTTGTCTCGATGTCTATGTTTT